CGACAACGACGTATCAAATCAAATTCTGAACGCATTAAACCGATTCGATATGGATATTCGCCACCCTATCGTGTTTCCCTTCGTTATGGTGCACTTACTAAACTCAATGAATTTTACTATTCAGTCGAACATTCATGGTCAAACCAACCGAAAACTAGATGGTCACTCTTTATAAATAATGATTATTTTGGTGGATTCATCGAGTGGGTGATGGAAGAGCGTAAAGAACGAAAAAAGAAACAATTATTAGCGATTAATATTGATCGCACCATTATTATTCAGCTATTGCCAGATGGATTTGCAATGTATATCTGTCAGACATGTAATATGAATGAATTTAGTGCAAAAGAAAAAAAATTCAATAATGTCGTCAGAAGACAGCATTCTCCATCGAGTTTTCTTAGTCATTTGGCTCCAATACGTCCGGCATTTGCAGATGATCGATTGCCACAAAGATCTTCTTACGAAAAGGATAAACGATCTGGTATACGTAATGGGATTTACTTTTCGACTGTTCAATTTGAACTTCGTATCGATCCGAATCATATAGCGAATGAAAAGGCTCAAAATACGATTCGACACACATATAAGTTGTTGACCAATTTTTTTACTTTACATAATATCACCATTTGTCATGGGATGATTGACTCACGTCAAGGTCCACAAGTCAATTCGTTCCCCACTCTACAATTACCAACTCTTATCATGCAATATTCATGGCAAATGCTTGTAAATATTGGCTATCGTTTACAAGTTCAAATGGATCAACAATTTCGTAATGATCTACATCAATTGAGTAGAGAAAAACGAAATGCTGACGATCTATTCTATCGTGTTTGCGTCTATCTTTCGCGTCTATTTACACTTGAACCTTTCGTCAATTTATCGGAAAAATTACATGATGCTGTAAAAGAGTCAAAACGTAAACGAGAAGAAAGTACTTTTGGTTTGATCAATAGTTTGGATTCACAAACCAACACAGAAACCTATATACCATCGGTTACATTAACACCGACCACCATTCGAATAAAACCATTGAAATTGTGTCGAACGAATCGAGTTCTTCGAGCAGAACAAGAATTTGGAAAAGCATTGGAGCATTTTGCTCTTGTCGAGATTCGTGATGAAAACGGTCAACGAATTCAATCGTTTCATTTTCGAGATTTACGTGATCTTTTTCTTGACTATTTGAAAAATGGCTTTACTCTAATGGATAGTAATCGATATTATCAATATTTACATCACTCACAATCACAATTACGTGTCAATCAATTTTGGTTTTATCATCACGAGCCAGGCATAAATCGTTCATTTGACAAAGCTTATGAATGGATGGGTACGTTTGATAAAGAACGAAACACAGCAAAATATGCTTCTCGTGTAGCTCTATGCTTTTCAACAACGATTCCCACTATTAATGTAATATATTTCTTTTTGTATTAAAATATTGTAGATTATCATCAATATTCTGATCATCTTATTTAGATAGATGAGAAAAATGTTCACTACATCGCTGATATCAAGACAAAAGATGGAAAATTGACATTCACAGATGGATGTGGCACTATGTCAGAACAATTAAGAAACGATGTTAGTATATGATGTTGTTGTGTATTAAAAACTTGATGTTTCTCTTTTACAGATTCAAAAACAGCTTGGCAAGCGACCCTTCTGTGCCGTTCAGTTTCGATATGCAGGTGCTAAAGGTGTTGTTAGTGTCGATCCACGACTGGGATCAGGCCATCATCTATGTATTCGTGATAGTATGGATAAATTCAAGAGTGAACATCGATGTTTCGAAGTATGTAAAATTTCTGCACCTCGATCGCTCTATCTCAATCGACAAGCCATTCTTCTTCTGTCACATCGGCGAATATCCGATGCTGTCTTTCTTATTCTTCAACAGCGTAACCATTTAACTCTTATTCGAGCTCTATTGAGAAATAATGATGCCAGAAATTTACTTGACGAAAAATTACCCTATTGGTTTTTACCATATGGTGCTAAAATTGATTTTGTTCGTGAACCATTCTTTCGACAACTATTGATAGCTGCTTGCCTTATTTCAATAGGAGAACTACTTCGACGAACACGTATTCGTGTTCCACGCAACAAAGCTCGAAATATGTTTGGTATTATAGATGAATACAATGTGTTAAAACCGGGTGAAGTTTTTATTCAATATACTCGACTTAATGATCATGAAGAAAAAGACATTAATAATAAAGGTGAAAAGGCATCAATTCTTCATAATTGTAAGGTTGTTATCACGAAAAATCCTTGTCATCATCCGGGAGATATTCGAACATTTACTGCTGTCAATTATGAAGCATTGAAACATCTCAAAGATGTCGTTGTCTTTTCACAGCAAGGTGATTGTCCAGCATCACATCAAATTAGTGGATCTGATCTCGACGGTGATGAATATGCAGTGATATGGCATCAAGATCTTGTTCCACTTCAAACGTCCAATGCCATACCATATAACTATGATTCACAGACAGCACCATCCGAACTCGATCGACCTGTGGAACGAGACGATATAAATGATGTTGTATTGCACATAGCTGAGAGTGATTATTTAGGACGATTGTCTAATTTACATTTGGCATATGCCGATCGTTATAGTGTCGACAGTAATGAAAAACCGGAAAAAGACGTTTTTTCGACAATTGAACTAGCTGGAGTGATTAGTCAAGAAGTCGATAGTGGAAAAACTGGACAACATCCAGTAGATGACAATAAGATAATGAAACAAAAAAAAGCATTGGGAGATGCAAGACCAGATTTCATGGAAAATGTCAATATGAAATCGTATCCATCAAAAAAAATACTTGGTAAATATAGATTTCAAAAATATTTTAGAATAGAATGAAGAAAAAAAGAAAATTTGAAGTGTAATGCACACTGCAAGAATCTTGAAATTTTTCTTGTGTAAGATTTTTCATGAACCAAAGTTTTGGAGTTTAGTAAAAGAATATTCTACTAGTCTCTTATCTATTTATAGGAAAACTCTATCGTTCATCACGTCGAATGTTACGTGGATGGAATCAACTTCTTCGACGGCATCGTCATTTACGTCATTTAAAAGTTCGAACTCCTGAAGATGATGAAATAGATGATGAAGAAGAACAAGAACAAGCAGCAAATGCTGATGATAGCCAAAAAAACATAATTAAACTAGATTCATCTCTTCTTAATACAAATCTAACCTGGCAATATCAGGAAATATCAGCAACTGCATCTGAATTATTTTATGTCTATCGACAAGAAATGCTTGAAATTCTAAATTTATATGGACTTTCACATGAAAGTGATCTATGGTGTAGAAAATCAACGAATACTACTGGTGGGGAACTTGAAGACACAGCTTATACTCAACTCGAACAACTCGTTGTACGTACACGGGATGCTTTCTTCTTACGCTCAGTATCTTTCTGTCCGAACAATAGAGACACCTGTAATGCAAATACTGCTTTCGAAAATTTATGTCAGGAATGCCAAGAAATACACAATGCCGTAGCTGCTGCGTTGTATAGAGAATGTTACAGTGGACAAAATGGATCGGAACGAGCGCCAATTTTAAGTTTACCATGGTTATTTACTACAGCACTTCTACAGACACGTCAAAGAGACTTACCATCAACACAAGGTTTGCTTAGTATGGTAATGCCAGGTGCAATCAACGATTTGGTCACTCATCATTTATTACAATTAGGAGGACTGACAGTGGCACTTCGCACATCGAACCATCGTCAAGTCGAAGCAAGTGTACATTGGACTGTTTGTGTTTTTGTTGAAATTCTTCATTATTGTCTCAGATCAAAGTCTTTTCATTCATGGCCAATGATCCTTAGTCAATTCGTACGTAAAACATCTTCCTTGCAACAGCATAATGCAACTGACAAATGGTCATTGGTCTTTGGCAATAAAGAACAGAACGATTTATATGCTGCCATGCTCATATCGATGGAATGGACTGAGAATGACGATGAATTAATGCATTCATATTTTGTTCAATTACTCGAAATTTGCTTTGATCTTGATCAGTGCATGACCGATGATATTAATGAGTATCTTCGAATGAGCGAAGAAATTATTCTTATACTCCAACGAATGGCGATTGACGAAACTTCATGGCCGAAAAATCGCAGATAATGCGATCGAAGCAAACTTCTATTTTTAGGACGTTCACCTTGTACCTCATCCTAAAAGTTAGAAACAATACTTCATAAAAAAAAAAGAACTTTCAGACTCAAACTGAAGATAAATATTGTTTTATTACTCTTAATTCAAATATCTTTGAAATTTTCCTTTCAATCTCTCACTTGAATTTCTTGAACATAGAAGCTTATCATTTCATAAAAAAATTGATATATAATCCTTCAATATACATTGATTTCTTCAACTTGAAATAATCCTTGAAATATTTAGATTCTCTAGTATTTAATTAAGCAACTTTTTTCTATTATATTGTTGTCTGTCATTTATTCGCGAATACAATATATGTTACTGAATCGAAGAATTGATATTTTTACTATTTGAATATATGCCTTAAAACGGATGTAGATGTGAATTTCAGTGAAATATCGCAGAAAAATCGAATATTTGTTGAAATTGATCTAATCTGTCAGATTGGTTACAAAGACGTAACTCTCATTATTAATCTTTTCAATATATTGAGAAGTCACTATCCAATTAAATATCGGAGCCTGCATATTTAAGATATACAATCGGCGAAACGAACAGAAATTCATTTGATAGAAACATTGAGAAAGGATGACTTTATTTCACGTCTCTATATATCTTCATCTGTTGTTTCGCATGAACTCATAGAAATACTTCTTCACGCTTCGAAAGAAGGCCATATCTTGACCCATTTGGAGTTTTATAATAGTCAAGTGAACGACGATGATGTTGCACAATGGCATTGTTGTATAAAGTTGGGTATCTGATTCAACTCGATTTCTATTATGACCTATATTGGCATATGATGATTCAAGAAAGGAAAGAGCTACAAAAAATCAAATGTTATCAAGAGGGTGTGGATGTGGGTATAGATGAAGAGCTCTCTTTTTTCCACACTCACACCTACACCCATAGCCAAATCGTTAATTTAATAAAATTATCCTAATTTTTTGATATATCTTTTATGCAGTAGGCGAGCAGACTTTCAGTATATATCAGTCGATTTTTGTGAAAAGCTTATAATAGTTTCTGAGACAACTAAAACTAAAAGACAATGTATGACTTATGTCAGTATTAAATTGAACATATAGTACAGAAGAATAAGTTTTTGTTGTCTAGAATATAAGATCAATAAATGAGATACAAATTATCTTATTGATTCATGAAACTTTTATTTCAATAAGAACATTAGTCTATGTATTTAATTGTTACAAATTTTATTTGAGAGGGTGTGTGGGGTGTGGGTGTGGGTGTGGGTGTGGGTGGGTGTGGGTGTGGGTGTGGGTGTGGGGTGTGGGTGTGGGTGTGGGTGTGGGGTGTGGGTGTGGGTGTGGGTGTGGGTGTGGGGTGGGTGGGTGTGGGTGTAAGTACAGAGAGGAATGACAGCCACACCCCACACCCCACACCCATCCACACCCACACCCACACTGACCGACCAGCCGATAATCGAACATTCTAACTTAGAATT